CAGCGTGGAGAAGGACGAGATGGAGGACACGCGCCATGGAGACCGTCGCCGACTGATCCAGTGGAAAACGAGGACCTACGCCCGACGTCACCCAATCCATGTCTCAGCGGACGAAGCAGTATGAACGATAGGTCAGCCTCGAGGAGGAGCTGTTTTCAACGTCTCGAGGGCGAGGCGAGGGTAAGTGGCAGAGCGATGTGGCAGTCACTATCAATATGGCATACCATAGTCATGCACGTGGTGTAGACTGCATATACGCCCATGTGTACGCCACCGAGGCGGCCGGGGTCGGATATAAGGCTGACCCAGCTTGACCTCGCTCTCAGTCACTCCGACCCGTGACCAAGCTGACCGGCACGCTACATACCAAGATACCATCCCGCACAGTTAACTCACGTAGTGATGATCTTCATTAAAGTGGCTAACAAAGACTGTATTTACTGAACCTGCCATACATTATAGTGGGACTCTTGATAATTGAATTAGAGACCATTATAATCTGTCAAATCCTCCTCTTTGCATGGCGTGTGATATTAGGGTTCCCATATAACTTTCAGGTCGCATTCCCGCACTGCCTGAGGGATCTCCTTTGTGTGTTCCTCCCTAGAGTGACCAATCATCCAGCCTCTGACCCTGACCAATATTGTGATCCTCCATCCCCGGTTTGGTCCGACAGCTCTATGTGACATTGCTCGCCCTCTGCTGAGAGCCTACCTTTCAAGGAAGGACGATCCATGAGGTCTTACAGAAATAGGCGACATTTCATTGCATCAGTGCAACGCAAGAATGGTGTACCTTCAGAGATTCCTACCTCTGAAATGTATTGACGGTTCTGCTTTTGCCTCATGGTTATTCCACACTAGTTGATCCCTTGCAACAGTCTCGACTCACTTAGCAATGGTCGGGAACCACCTTGGAGTTCCTCTGGATCCCATATCTGTAGCATTCTACAAGTATTCTTTGTGTGGTCCAAACACAACATACTTGGACCTTTTCCTTTCGGCATTCTTGAACCCTGAAGCTGACCCACCTTTATTTTGTGTGCCCCTCCCATGCCTTGGACTATCTGCTCCTCACCTGGCGTTGTGGCCTGAACATGGTCTGTGGACGGCCAGCTGTCCACAACCATGGGCCATAATCTCCCTGCCCAAGGAAACGGGGTCTCCTTCTTATAGGGTAGGTTCGCTGTGCCCCACAACCCTTCCCACCTGGCGAAGAAAATTTGCTAGCTGATAAGTAAGTCCTATTTGGGAAGGATCACTTATCAAGACCGCCGCTCGCTTTTCTGTGCTCTCTCCCTCTTTCCAGGCCTACCTACCTCCCCTCCCCTGCTCTCTGTCTGTCTGTCTGTCTGTTGTCTCTCTCTCTCTCGTTTGATAGAACGCGAGTGAAGGAGACAGGACAGTGGGCGTCCGGCCCGGCATGCTATCTACCAACCATTCAACTATCGTCCGTAGTTTACACTGAGGTTCCCGTTCCCCGCCCCCCAAAGACGGCTGTGGCCACAGAGAGGGCAGGATGGGGACGAGCCGCTGGACTGAAATCCTTATATAGAGCCGCGGCACTTAATACAATTTTTATCTTGGATTTAATTTGTTCTCCGGTATTTCTGCTACACCTTTCTGGCAGTTTCCAAGCAGATATCCCATTAAATAATGCATCTCAAGTCAAATACAAATGCTTTTTATGTATTTCGACTTTACCTCCCCCCCCCCCCTGTCGCCGTCTCTCAAACCATGCTGTTTCATCCTCTGTTCTCTTGAGTCATGATCTCATACATGCGCCCGACAAGCGATAGGGTGAGGTGCCATGGTATGCAATTTTCGTCTTTACTGACTCCGCTCCCTTCCATACCTTCGGCTCGCGACAGGAATAAGGGGGCTCGCGACAGGAGATGATCACGTGATGGTGGCTGCCGTGAATGTCTCAGTCCATAGGCCTCATTTTCCACAGTTGCGATTCAAATTACAGAAAATATACATTCTCAATATTTATATGCCAGATTAAACGCTGCCATTTCAACTCTAAACCAACTAAACTTTTCAAAATCTCTTGTTGCACAGAATAATCAGTTAGTTTATTCTATTAGCACTTTGTTTTCCTTCAACAAGAACTTAATATTTCGATTGAAATATTAAGTAACGATTGAATGGCCAGTGCAATTATGGTGATCATGATAACCCAAATCAAATGTAGTGCATTACAAGAATATTCTGGCCGTTCTACTCTGTAGTCATCCGAAATATTATAAAGTGTAGAGGGAATGTAGCAACCGTCTTCATTTGCGATCCAGTTTTGACTCATGTTCGTTGTTACAGAAACATTAACGATGGTGATAGTGAAAATGAATTAATTTAGCGGTACTAACACTAATTAATGACTTTAATTCTAAATAGATAACAAAGTAAAAAAATAATAGTATATATATGATGGCACCGCCACTATATACGATCATCCTTTCTCATATCATAATTAGCGTAACAAGCATAAGGACATTGAAACGAAGCTGCATGCACTAGCTGGTGTGCAAGCGAAACAGAAAGATTGCAACATTCATTGTTCATTCTTGTGAATTGAACTTCATTCCAGCTGCCAATGCATTCACTCAACTCCACAATGAAATATTCAAGTTAAAATCTGTCTCTACAGAAGACACTGTACTCAATTTATATCCACCTTATAATTACGTGTATATGTAATAACACAAGGAGTTAGACAGAGAAGAGAAACAGAATAATATAGCACCCTTTGTAGAGACCTGCATCGTACCTCCGCCAACACGTTCAAGAACGACGTCGTACGGAGGAGGAAGAGGCTGACACCGGGAAAGAGTTCATTGAAATTTCCCTTTATTGTGCCCTTTATCGACAGGAGCATGGCGGGAGACTCAGCACCGATATGCATTATACGGCCTTACAGGAAAGGAGACGAGGACACCATAAGAGATATAATGACAGAGGCCACAATGGAAACAGTTGGGGAGTTCTTCTGGTCGGCTGTTATGTCTGAGGTCTTCCCACAGGTGATGTTTTGTTATTTTTTTTATGCTTTATATTAGGTCTTACTGAATGAGTAGGATGTGTCTTTCCATTATTATACAGAGTTTACTTATGTTGGTTGTGTTACGTGTTTTTTAATAGATTGTTAAAGTAGGAGCTTCTTCATCATTCTTTGCCAAAGTACAGATAGGTATAAATTTATTTATTGGCAATTGTGTATTTTGTAAGATTTTTAGTAGTAATTACAGTACTGGTAAATTTTCTGCCGGCCTTCTCTCTCCTCTTCTTCCGCCACTTCCTCATCTTTCCTTTTCGCTGTTCTACATCCTCTTCGTTTTCCTCTCCTCTTCCTCTTTTCATCTTCCTTCTCTTTCACTTCTCTTTTACCTAGATGCTGTGGTTACAGTGACTTCTTGGCAAACTTAAGCATAGATCACTGCCAGTTTTGATTCCATTCAAGCTTCAAGTGGAATCGAATATAGTTAATGCCATTTTCGAAAAGAATGATGATTTTTTTTTAGGGGGAGTGATAGGAATATTTACCACAAAAGTGTGACATAGAACGAATCACACTCGAAACAAAAACACGAGATGGCCAAATAATCCTCTGTTTACACTTGTGAACACATGAGAAGGCAGAGGAAATAGATAACATAGATATGTCTGTACGTGTTTTGTTTTGTATAATTGAATGCAATAAGCAGTATCAGAGTTACTTATTTCATTAATACACTTATTCCCTTTTGCTCTCTATCCATAGGCAATTTTGATCATTATATTTATTTTATAAGTTTAGTTTTTTTATAAGTAGCTGCAGGATTTTATTTATATAGAGAGATATTAAAGGCTCTTATTATTACTTGATTTATATACTTGTTTATTATAATTATTATTGTTGTTGTTTTTGTCATTATTGTTATTATTTTTATAGTAGTAGTAGCATTGGTATTATTGTTGTCATTAATATAATTATCATCGTTGTTGTCATTTTCGTTGTCATATTCGTCATCATCGTTATTATGTTATTGTTTTGTTGTTTTTATTGTTATTATGGTTGTTGATGATAATGATGATTATTATTATTGTTGTGTTGTTGTTGTCATTTGTAGTTATTGTAATCATTATTATTATATTATTATTATTATTATCATCATAATTATTAATGATGATAATTTTTTTAATTATTTTTTATAATGATTATGTCAATATTAATTATAGCTAATTGTCATTATTACTAAAGAAATTTTGTTATTGGTATCATTATGATCATAATACTTCTTTGATTTTTATTTTCATTTTCTTATAATTTATATCTATTCAAATAATTGTATTTTTTTTTTATTATTTTGTTATATTTTTATTTGTATTTTATATTATATCATCATTGTTAATATTAATTGTTTTTTATTTTATTTCCTTTATTGTTTATTTGATTCAATTCCATTTCTTGTTTTATTTATTCTATATTTTTTCCCTAATTTTGCTTTGTTTGATTTTAATATGTTTTATGCTTTATTATTTTGTTTTAGTTCATTTTATTTTTATTTTTCCATGATTTTTTTTTATTTTTATTCTTTTTCTATCTTTATTTTAAATCTTTAATTTCTATTTATTTATGCTTTTATTCTTAACTTTACTTTACTTTGTTCTTCCCCCTCTTTTACTGCTTCTGCACCTCCTCTTCCTCTCTCCTCCTCCTCCCCTTTCTTTGGCTTCCTCTCTCTTCCTCCTTCCCTTTCTTTGGCTCTTCCTCTCTCTTCCTCCTTCCCTTTCTTTGGCTCTTCTCTCTCTCCACCATATCCATGCTCTTATCCGCTTCTTGCTCCTCTTCCTCGTCCATGTTTACTTTTTTTTCTCTTCTCTTCTCTTACGCATATCTTATAGCATGTATGTCAGACTTATATGTATGTATGGAGTGATGATAGACTTTTTTATCATCATCATCAATATCATCAACATCATTAATAATCATCTGTCCAATTTGAACACCAAACCTTTGGCTTTGTATAAAAATTGAGGGAACATCATTTATATTTAATCATTGGTTTCTTTCAGGTCTTATAGCATGTATGTCAGACTTTATATGTATGTATGTAGTGATGATAAACTTTTTTATCATCATCATCAATATCCTCATCATCATCAATAATCATCTGCCCAATTTGAACACCAAACCTTTGGCTTTGTATAGAAATTGAGGGAACATCATTTATATTTAATCATTGGTTTCTTTCAGGTTGCTCTTTTGTTATTGCATTTGCTTTCATTGGACTGGGGGTGCCCTTTTATTTTTGCCTGTTCGGCATCCCAGTTGCAGTGGGTGTGATATACGGCGTGATTTGGTCGGCTCATTTATTCAAGGTGAGCGCTTCTTCAGAGTTTGTTCACTGATTGGATTTTGCATTGAGTTAGAGAAGGAGGTTGAAAGAATGGAGATCAAATTATGCCTGAGAGAGAGTGAGTGTGTGTGCGTGTGTGTTGTGGTGTGCGTGTGTGTGGTGTGTGTGTGTGCGTGTGTGTGTGTGCGTGTGTGTGTGTGCGTGTGTGTGTGTGCGTGTGTGTGTGTGCGTGGTGTGTGTGCTGTGTGGTGTCGTGTTGTGTGTGCGTGTGTGTGTGTGCGTGTGTGTTGTGTGTGTGTGTGTGTGTGTGTGTGCGTGTGTGGTGGTGTGTGTGTGTGTGTGTTGTGTGTGTGTGTGTGTGTGTGTGTGTTTATGCATGTGCATACGTGTGTGGTGTGTCTGTCTGTCTGTGAATATTTCAAGTTTGTCTCAAGCAGATTTTAGGTGCAAATTTTTCAAGAACTTGAATATACCCAAAGGAAATACATATTTCATATATCAAATACATGCAGTATTGATTGAATGCAAAATTGAAAAAACCTACTGTAGACTACCTTTATGTATCAGTGAAAATGTAAATAAAAGACATATTAACAAAAATATTTTCAATATAAAGCATTATAAAATGTGTACATAGATGTAATTCTATGCATCTAAACATAGCCTAAATAGTAAAAAGCCAAAGAGAGGATTTTTTAATCTTAAAAAATCTCATTGATTTTCTTCATAGGCTATGGAAACTCCATGAAGATCTGAACAACATTCAGAAAACATACATGGAAGACCCTGACACTGGATTCTGGGTTGCTGAAGTATTGGAAGTCAGTGAGGCCAATGAACTTGATTCCCTTGTTAACAAAGCTAAAAAGTATAGTTTGTTGCTCAAATTTCTTTAGCATTAAGCCTGTTTGTACTGGTGTCAGACTCCTGTTGACTTATTTTGGTTTTTTACTTTAATGATTTCTTTTTATATGAAAAGAATTGAAAGAAAAAATGGGCTATAATTAGCATTTGGCTATACATTTTGTCACTTGTGTTCATTATTTAAATTTCATCACACTATCTAATGTATCAGATATGGTAGAAAAAACCACAGTGCACAAATGGGGTTTATTGAAAATGAGACCACAGTTTCTAAATCCTCCTGGATTTCATCTTCACTTGTGAATATAGAATTCTAACATTTGACTTTGCAGGTTGAGTATGATTTTCTTTCCGAAGAAGAATTCCACATGAGAAATATAAACTTGGATGGCTTCAGGAAACATCTAGTTGGGACAGTTGCCATCACCAAGTCACAGAGAGGAGGACTCAGGTAATCACAATGGAGATTATCTTATTGTTATTATTGTCATTATTATTTGTTTATATCTCATATAATATTTTTTTATGGATAGGATATTACAGTTGGTGAAGATATATATGATGATTATTTTTTCTTCTTGAGATATAGCTGTCAGGGATTAATATCTACTTCATCAGCTTTTGACATTAATTTTTTTTTTTTTAACTATTCTGATCATTGACAGTTTTCACCTTTTAGCAGCTCATGGAGCAATGTCTTCAAAATACTTGGCTAAAGTATACAAATGCAGTACTACTGTTATAGAGAAGTGTTAAAGTACATTTTCTTGGTCAATGTTGCAGGGCTTGGCTGAGACGCATGGCAGTGAGGAAGGCTTACAGGCGCCGGGGAATTGCCATGCAACTCCTAGAGCAGGCCATCCAGTTCTGCACAGACAGGTGCCATGAGGGGATTGAACTCATCACAACGGAATGCCACTATAAGGTGCAGTTGGATTTTTTGTTGTTGTTGTAGTATCTTCAGAGCCACTTAATCACCAATATATCTGTTATTAACACCCACCAATATCAGCATGCATTATCATTGATCAACAGTATAAAAATGCAGTAGTGCTGCATAATATCCAGTTTTCATGTATTGTTCTTCAGTATTCATCATCAGTGTTGTCATGTATAATTGTTTATTAATTGGCTTAACAGGAATATTTATTCTTTCTTGTTTTTTTTAGTCATCTGTGATATTTTTTATCTAATATTTTGACTAGTCATATTTTGTGCTTTTGTCTAGATATTGCCAGTAAACCTGAAATCTTGACTTCATTTTTAAAAATAAATAACCATTTTTGTAATGGAAATACATATAAGGATTATAAGTATACAGGCACTTGAAGTCTTCATGATGATTGATTGTTTTGTTTTGCGCTTATTTATGCTTTCAGGCACGTGAGCTGTATTACAAGAGAGGTTTTACAGCAGAGCACACCTATTACAAGTACTATTTCAATGTGCGACAGCCAATGTACCTCTTCGCAATGCCTTTGAAGCCCCCAAAGCAAATCTTGCTGAAGTATCAACTATGTAGAGCATAATCCTGTTGTTGATTATGCTTGCTGACATGTATGGAATCATAATGAATTTTTTATACACATTTTGATCTTCCAAGATGATTGACACCATTTACGATAAACAATTAATTTTTGAACAAGAATGCTTGTTAGGGATATCTGTTAGTGCCTTATATTGTTTTGTTATAAAATAGTTCCTAAATTTTCAGTGAGGAAGCATTCAGGGTGATATGCAGCTGTATGGTTTTTTTTGGGGAAAGTAATATGTAGATTTAAGATATTATGAAAACAATGTGATATTTTTAAATGTTTTGATGAACTAAACCTGTTTCATATGTCTCCAGAGAAACTCGGAATTGTTTACAACCTTTGTTTTGACTTTAATAGGTCTATGCCTTGCAAGTTGCTCACAAATTTTGTAATGTGTGTTTTATCATCATTTGTTTGTCTTATGTAGGCACTGCATAACTGGAAGAAAGTATGTAATTATGTAATGTAATGCTTATATGGCATTAGGATATCATGTCACAAATTAACTTTTTTTTTTTATGTAATTTTCCTTTTCTGGTACTGAAGAGAGATGATAGGCAATCATGAAACTGTTTTATGTCCATGCTCTTTCTTTTTCTGCTCAATATTGATAGTATGTCATATTTATGCATTTCATGTGTAACATTAATAGTTCGACCTATGGATAAATAAACTACCACCACTATGGCTCTTTCAGAAACTGATGATAAGCCCAGAATCTCACATTTTATGCTCATGTTCATTAATATAATTTTGTGACTTATAGATGACTCCTATGTTGTTACGGCTCGTCTCTAGGTGACTTACAGACAAGATTGATTTACAGAGAAATGCTGTTACAAAGTGCCATCATTGGCATTATTTATATATTTATGTAACTCGGAATATAAGGTCATACATATGTTAGTTCTGGACAATAAGTACATGTTATCATTATTCGTAAGAATCTTTTCTGTTGGTAATCATTTTTTCCTTATATGAATTCTAAGTTACTTTGTTTCACATGTTTTTTGCCCAACTTCTGATAATTAAAACGGAAGCAGGGGAATAGTTTCATTGCTTTATCAAGACATGTATAAAGAAGATTTATAACAATTTTTTCCTATCCTGGAAGAAATTTTGTAATCCTGCTTGTATATATTTCTTGTTTTACCTTTTTAATGAATTGCATTGTACATTACTCTTCCAATTCTCTAAGAATTACAAGGAAATACAAAGATGGAACTGTTCTGTTATTTTTAAGTTGGAGTTTACACTTTACTAAGTATACTTCCTTTTAAAAAAAGTATATTGCAAGTATGTGAAGTCTAAAATTAGAATATTGTAGTAAAAGGAGGATTTAACATGAAAGACTATGCCTAATATTAGTATATTCATGAACACTAAACTAGTAGATATGTAAATGTGCCGAAGGGACAGTCCCAGTGCCAGTGTTCTGTTCTGTGAGATACATTGACATATGTTTATTTCAAAGTTATCTACTTTGTCACATTATATTTTTGTAATATGATGCCCACAAATAAAGGAACACATTGATTTTAGATATATTTTATGAATGTCATTTTTTACAGGTTTTTTACCCTATTTCTTCTCTCTGTTTAATTGGAATACTTGTCAATGATGTTTACAGTACCAAAGTTTCATCCACAAGACAACAGCTGGAATGGTAATTCCTGGGTAAATAACCCCCCAATCCCATGTCTATTATTGTCGTGTGGGGTTTAGGAGATGGGGAATGAGGCCCAATGTTGGGGATCTCTCCTGCCATGGGCCTTGGCACAACCAATTTGTCATCTCCTTTCCTTTCCCTTATCTTCACCAACGCCTTCTGCCCAGTACCTCAGAAGTGAGAGCTGCATTGAAAGGATAAAAGGCTGGTTCAGGGAGCCTTGAACTTGATATTTCCTTGCTTAGATATCTATCCCTTACCACTCATGGGATGCCGAAGCATACCATTTTTCTTCCCCACATACTCTAGGCCTAGCATTGCAAGTAATGATATTGTAACTTTATTTGGGGCGTTTGGCCTTCCAAAACGTAGCTCGTCGTCGTGGGAGAGCTTAGGAGATGAGAACTGAGACCCAATGTAGGTATCAACCCTACCTTGGGACCTTGCCTCAACTAATTTTGCTTGGTCCTTCTTCTCTTTCCTTCCTCTTTTGTATCTTCTTTATTCCCTTCCTTTATCCCATTCCTAAGGTGTGAGAGCCATGCTGAAAGGATGAAAGGCTAGCTTTTTGTCAGTCAGGAACGGCCTCTGGGAGCCATGGGCACGGTATTCCCTTGGTTAATTGCCTAGCCCTTACCTCATGGGGACCCTGAGGGGCAGACCGTTTATCCCCAGATTATTCAGGCTCACCATAACCAGTAATGCAGTTTTTTTTACCCTTAATAGGGGCATTATGGCTTGCCCCTTCATCAAGTAGTCTATTTGATATTGATGGTTTTCCGACCCCTGCCCCTCCTTTGACCACAGCTTGGACCACTGATGCTAATACCCCCTCTTCGACGCTGACGAACAACTCAGGTTATTACTCAACCCCTAGAAAGCACCTTTTCCTCATCCCCAACATTCTCTTCATCTCCTGCTGCACAGTCCTCTTCAATGTCAACCCCCTCTCCTTGTTACTACTCCTATATATTATACTGTACTATAACACTCTCATACCTTTGACATCTAACACATTTCATCGTAATCTTTAACTCTCCTTTGTCCATTCCGACGCAATACTTTACCATAGTGTTATATGACCTTTGATGTCTAGCACATTTATTTTTAAACATTAAACATTAGGGGCGTTTGGCCTTGTCCTTTTATCAACTAGCCTCTCCGATATTAACTAACCGGTTCCCAACCCTTGGCTCGCCTTTAATCACAACTCTGAGCTCTGCTATTACCATTCTCTCCTCGTTAGCTCAATCTACTCCAAGTCGTCCATCCAGAGCATTACCCAACCTCCAGAAAACTTTACTTCCTCTCTTCCAACATTATCCGTTCATTCAAACCGCTCCTCCGTATTAATGCTCTCCATCCTTTTTATCCACCTCCCCGCTGTACTGCCTCATCAGTACTACCTCTTCCTTACGTCCTCGTCTCCAACCATTCCTACGTTTTTTTCGGCCCAGCTAAGTGGGATTGATTTTTTGTGATTCCTTGACAGCCCCGCGCTATGCACTCTCTTCCAACAATATATCCTAAAAATTAGGCAAAGTCTCCTTCCTCAGTCTTTCCGATTGCCCACACTTTGTCACAGTTATATATGAGTCCCAAGCTCGTGCATTATCTACCCTAACTGACCTCACTGGTAAACCTTTTCCTTACCAGCCTCAGTCCTCCCTTAATACTTGTACCGGAACGGTTTCTATCTCCCGCGCTCATTGCTCTGTCTACAGCAAGGATTGGTCTGACTATGGAAACGACGTGCTTGTATGGCTCTTTAACTATGATGCAGTATCAATACTATCCCCTAAATACGGCCGAAAGTCCTACACCAATATTGCTAAGATTACCTTCCGTAGACATGACAAATCTCATGAAGTTTATGTTGATGGAGAGCCCTACCAAAGCTGGTCATGGCCGTTCAAACTGTTCTGCCCAATCACGCACATGTGCTAAGAGTGGTGGCTCCCATAAAGAATTTTATAGGGGATGGCTTACCTGTAAGTTCGAATCAGGTAGCAGTCTTCAGATTCAAACTTGGCCTCACTTTGAGTGAATCCAGGAAGGAAGCACCCCGACGATTTTTCTCTTCCCTACTCCAGTGTTGTACTTAGATCTGCCCCTTCCTTTTCTGCTCAAGATGTTTCCACATTTCCCCCAGTATCTCTCCCTTCTTACATCTACCCCTCCTCTCGCAATCAAATTCTTTTGCCATTCTAAATTCAGGCATCAATCTCTCCCACTTTCCCGGTACCTAACCCTCCTTGTTCTACCCATTGCATCAATCTAAATGATCCACCCCATCTACCGCATACTCTCCTGCACTTGCCTCTTCTGCTCCTCATACGCCCATCTTCCCCGCATTAGAAGACCTTCATTACTCAGACCTCAACCAAAACCCTCTCAGAAACTCCCCAAATTATTTTTCATTGCACCATATTCATGAGACGGTAAAGTCGTACAGTAATTTAGAATAATTTAGTATTAAATGGTTAAGAAATGTGAGGGCAGAGGGTAAGGACATGGGGCAAAGCAGGGATTAATAAAAGGATAACATGAGGAAAAGGATGGATGTTGGTCGTCACTTTGCGTATAGAAGGAATGGGAGCTTGAGAGGGTAGATGAGTGATTTGCATGTTTATTTTTGTTATAATTAGAACGTTTTGAATATTCTCCAGAATTTCTGCGAGGTTAATGGTTGAAATAAATGTGCTAGACATCAAAGGTCATATAGCAAGCACTATGGTAAAGTATTGTGGCGAAGAGGGTAAAATGAGTTAACGATTAGGATAAAATGTGATAGATGTTAAAGGTTATAGAGTATAGGATAGTATGATAGGGAAAGGGTGAAGAGGGGGAGCAAATGAAGTAAATTGGAGATTAGTAAAGGAAAAGGTTAAAAGTACATGGCGGTTGAATGAAATGGAGTGTATCTGTGGCTGGGGAAGCAAAAGAAACAGTTTGCGGAAAACAGGTAAAAAGCTATTATGAAACAAACAACAGGCAATGCGAGTAGAGATGGTTGTTGGAGAAGAAGCAGGAAAAGAATCTGGGGAATGAGATAAGGGGACTGAGTACATTGGTGAAGTATCAGAAAAAAATGTCAGGAGGGGAGGATACGGAGGACACTGTTGCGACAAAAGGGATTCACGTGAGTATCAAGGCGGGAGAGGTAAGGATAATGAAGAATAGAAAGGGAATGGTGCACATGGAGAAGGAAAGGATAGAGTGTGCTGGGAAAGAATGGGAGGAAGAGGGTAATGAACTTGAGGAGGAGGGATATCAGCAAATACTTTGAATGTAGAAGGCATGGGAATACAAGGGTTAGACAGTGGATGAGGGATCGGAACTTTCCCTTCGGTGATATCTAGGAATTTTTGGATGTTTTCAAGTGTCTGGAAGGGAGTTGGGTGGGGAGGTCTGAGAAACAAAGGTTCTCTTGTGAGGAGGAGAAGAGGGGATAGATGTTCGAGAGCAGAGGAAGAGAAGGCTGAAGGAGAGGATGTGGTAGGCGAAGATGGAGTGTAACATTTTAGGCTGTCTGGTGCGAC